ACAGCAACACCCCGCAGCACAGATCACACACAGCTACACCTCACACCCCACACAGCCACACCCCACATTCCGCACAGTTACACCCGGCACAGCTTCACCCCACCTAACAGATCACACACAGCTACACATCAAACCTGCACAGCTACACCTCACACCAACAAAGAGCTGTTCATACCGGCGCTTGTCATTGGCAAAACTTTTGTCTTTCCGGGGTGTGTTTTTTTAACACCTCTGAAAGACAAAAGTTTTGTCGTTCAGTTGCCAGTGTAGACATAGCCTAAGTCAAGATAGTGGGTGACTTACATCAGCGGGAGCACCATTGCAGGGTAGAAACTGACAGAGTTAGGTTGATTTAAGGCAGCTTATGTCAACCTGACTCGGTAGTGTAGACCAGGCATTATTGTTTTAATGGTTATAAAATTTAACTTTTTGAATCTCAGTGTCTACTGTCATAAAATAATGATCCACACCCCATCATTTTCCATAACTATGAAAATTTAGCTCTATAAAAAAATTAAAATATTTAAAACCCATTATGTTGCATATCTGTGAAAATGTAAAATAATAAATGCTTAAAAATAAACAGATATTTTCCACTGACATTATTTTTTGCAAAAATGAAGTCTGCCAGTCTAACTCCACAGCATACACCAGAAACATCATACTACTTACAGCACACCATAGCACACCACATAGCTTAGCAAACCATAACAAAGATACCAGGGAACACCACAATACATAAAACATTGTACATACCACAGCATCAAAATATGCATCATACACATTAAACACACACAATACAACACAAGGGAACTGTAAGCACAGCTATGCAAAAGTAAACCCCTTATCAACTCAAATTACAGTCTCAAAATGCAATCCATGTTCTCAGATTGCTCAAAATTTGTTTAATCTATCCTGAACCAAATTACAGTATCAGGTGGAAATCACAATGAAACCAGGCCAAAACTATTTGATTTTGAGATTCAAAGAAACTCAAAGTGAAACTTTGGTATGAGGTGATGGTGGTAAACCCGCATGAACTCAGGCAACAGACACAAAGAAAAGACAGACAAAGTGGGTGAGGTAATATCTTTTATTGGACCAACTTTTGTCTCTTTTCACCAACAGAAGTTGGTCCAATAAAATATATTACCTCACCCACCTTGTCTCTCTAATATCCTGGGACCAACACGACTACAACACTGCATATAACAAACAAAAGAGTCACACAAATTCCTTGTGAACTGAAACTACCGGGTTTTGCAAAACTCTCTTTATTAAATCTGGAAGTGTCTGCCACGAGACAGTGGCATTTTAGAACTTGAAAACAAAGACAAATCATTTAAAACCACCACTGAAAAAATAGTAGTACTGATGTTGCAAGCTTTGTAAATGTGTGAGCATGAACAATCAGGCCCAATATTTACAGGAATGATAATTGTTATAGGAATGATCAAAGTCCTCTCATTGGGGAAATTGATTACCTGGAAAAAGTTATTCATCCAAGCTGCACCTAAGGATTCCAAACCATCCAGCACCTATGGATCAGATACACATTTGACACCCAGAGCTTAAAAATCTGTAGAAGGGGACTGGGTGGTAATTATGGCACAGGGAGTCACTGTTAACCTTTTGCCGTTTGTTTAGGTTTTTTAAAAAGCTAAACTAGATGAAGTTTTAATTTAGGGTATGTCTATACTGGCAGAGTTACATCGCCGGCAGTTACAACACCACTCAGAGAGTGCTGCAGGGAAACCGCTGTTGTGTGTTCACACTGTCAGCTGCCTGCGCAATAGTGTGTTCACACTTGTGGCACTTGCAGCAGTATTTGGAGCGGTGTTCATGCTCTCTATGGTTCTCCAGGTGCTCGTGGATCACAGTGGGCGTTTCACAGACATTAACACAGGCTAGACCAGAAAGGTGCATGACGCACACATCTTTCGGAACACTGGCCTGTTCAGGAAGCTGGAAGCAGGTACTTTATTCCTGGACCAGAAGATCACCGGAGGGGAAGTCAAAATGCCCATTGGGATCCTGGGAGACCCTGTCCACCCCTTAATGCCATAGCTTATGAAGCCATACACGAGGCAGCTTGACAGCAGCAAGGAGCAGTTCAACAACAAGCTGAGCAAGTGCAGAATGACTGTTGAGTGTACTTTTGGCCATTTAAAGGCCTGCTGGTGCTGCCTATATGGGAGGCTGGCCCTGGCTGAGGACAATATTCCTATGCTTATAGCCGCATGCTGTATGCTCCATAATATTTGTGAAGGGAAGTGTGAAAGCTTCACTAAGGGCTGGACCACTGAGGCTCAGCACCTGGAGGCTGAATTTGAACAGCCAGAGACCAGGGCTATTAGAGGAGCGCAGCGCAGGGCACAGGCGCCAACATTCCTTGGCGCCAGTGGGTGCTCGCACCCCCCCCGGCCCCACCCCGACTCCGCCCCCTCCCTGCCCCATTGGACCCTTCCCCAAATCCCCAGCCCCACCTCTTCCATGAGCGTGCCGCGTTCCTCCTCCTCCCCCTCCCTCCCACCGCTTGCCACGCAAAACAGCTGTTTCGGGGCACAAGCGCTGGGAGGGAGGGGGGAGAAGCAGGATGCAGCGGCGTGCTCAGGGGAGGAGGCGGAGCAGAGGTGAAGGTGAGCTGGGGCAGGGAGCTGCTGGTGGGTGCAGAGCACCCACCAATTTTTCCCCGTGGGTGCTCCAGCCCCGAAGCACACACGGAGACAGCGCCTATGGCGCAGGGCCATAAGGATCAGGGATGCCTTGAGACAGCAATTTAAAGCTGAAATCCACTAATATTTGTTGCTATGCTCTGGATTGCAGTGCTTGTAATGCTAGGAGGTGATTGTGATTGGTGCAGACAATGCGCTATGAAGAATATTAAGAAAATTGCCTGCACCTTGTGGTAGGCGTTCCGCAGCTCCTTCACTTTGACCCTGCACTGCAGTGTGTCCTGGTCATGGCACCTTTCTGTCATGCATCGTGAAATCTGTCCGTAGGTATCAATTCCTACGGCTGGAGCGCAGCTGGGACTGGACAGCCTCCACTCCCCAAATACCGATGAGGTCCAGCAGCTCGGCATTGCTCCAAGCAGGGGATCACCTGCTGCGTGGAGCAAGCATGGTCACCTGGAAAGATGCGCTGCAACCACTGCACATGTCACCGGGCAAACAGGAAGGGGACTTTCAGAATTCCCAAGGAATTTAAGGGGTGGGGCTCATGGTTGGTCACTTGTGGGCAGGGCAGTAGAGTTCAAACTGATGACCAGAGAGGCGAGAACAGGCATTGTGGGACACCTCCTGGAGGTCAATTGCAGTGCTGTAATCGACCAGGGTGTCTACACTGGCACCACAGTGCTGTAGCCCCGGCACAGAAAGCTGTACACCTCTCACCAGGGTGGTTTTTTTACAGCACTGCAACTGCGCAGTTTCTGTGCACTAAGTGGCTTGGCAGTGTGTACAGCTCGGGAGTTACACTGCAGAAAGCTGCTTTACTGCGCAGAAACTTGCCAGTGAAGACAACGCCTAAATCATTAGACTGGAATGGTTTCTCTTAGCTTGGACAATAAAAGTCAATGAAGTCAGTTTCACTTGCAGGTTCCCAGTGCCGCAATGTTTGCATTTTAACAAATAAACATTCTTCTGCAGTGTTTTTTGTTTTTGCAAAAGTGTTTCAGGGGAATTCAAAAATAATTGGGGAAGCATTCTGTTGTTGCTGCATTTTATAAGGCTAATGTTTTACAAAATTTAAACTTGGGTCAAATTTAAAGTGGACAGTGTCCCTTTAAAATAATAATTTGCTATG